GGGGGGCGGGACAACCAGTGTCCTGCCTGCAAAAGCGGAGCGGCCGCGCGGCGTCCCAGAGGAAAGGAAAGGAAAGTCACAAGTAGTAGACATCATGACTGGGTGACTGGGGCACATCAAACCATCCCGAAAATTGTCGGTCTGATCACCGACCGTGCGTAACCGCAGGCGGAGCGGGGCGCCGTCGGGCGTGCCCTGGGCGGCCCGGGCCCAGGCAGGGCGGCCAGCAGAGGAGCTCCGAGCCCAGGCCAGGGACCTATGTGTGCCGTCTGCTCTCGCTGCGGGGCGCCCCGGGCGGGGCCGTATGTGCTGTCCGCCCACCTGAGCGTCGCGCCCTCGGCCGCGCCCCGCCCCGCCCCGCCCCGCGACAACTCGCTCTATGCACCGAGCGGACCCGGAAGAGGCCCACATCCTGGCCAACGTAGGCGCGTACACGCCGTATGGCTTGCACCGGGCGGCGGGCGGGCGGCCAGGCAATCCCGATGGGCCGATGGGCCCCGACGGGAACCCCGACGGGCCCGCAGCGCAACTAACCTCATTTGCATATTGGATTTGCTCGCGAGCATTTCTCCTGGCTGCTGGCTGCACGCTGCACCGCCGTTCTGCCGAGGCGCACATGGCACTCCCCCCCCCCCCAACCCCTATTGAAGTGCACACGATAAATGAACTATACCTTTGATCATGGCTTGGATCATGGTCTTTTCCCCAAAAGAAACGGCACAAAGACGATGGAATCTGGGCTGTGTCTGCGCTGCGGGCAGCCGCAGCCACACATCCCTGACTAACACCATATGCCATGCCGGCAGAAGGACACGCCCGCCACGCTCCACCCCGCCCCGCCCGCGACACCACAGCGCCCACGCTTCGCTAATTGCCGCCGCGACCCGAATGGCCCTCATCAGCGATCGGCGGGGCAAACACGCGCATAACGACCGCATGCGGACTTTACGAGGCGGGCGCGGACGAGCGTGGACGGGCACAGGAGTATCGGTGGGGCCGCGGGGGGCGCGCACGCCGGCGCACGCTCGCGCGGGGGGTATCTCCGGCGAAAGAGCGCGGGGCCGAGTGCCGCCGGAAGTGCTATAGAAGTGCTGTACTGATGCCTTCGATCAGTTCTGGCAGGGCGGCAGCAGCGCGGGCGCCCAGCACTCAGCACCCACCCGGAGCGTGGGCGTTGGCAGCCGACGTGGTCGCACGGCGCGCGCCCAGACCTGCAGGCCTTGCGCCTCGCCCCGTCTCGCCCCGCCCCGCCTCGCCCGGCCCGGATGGCCGTGGGCCGAACCGGATCGCCCAAAACCACCACGGCGGGGCGGAGCGGCGGCTGCGGCTCCCGGGGCCCCGGGGCGCCTCGTCGGCGCCGTGCACCGCGCCGACCAGCGGGGCGGCCGCATGCGGTTTCCTCCGCAGCAATCGTAGGTGTACAATGCAAGCAGCAAACATGCGAGCGGTGATTGGTGCACACAGACTGTGCACGCCGACCCGGGCGCCACGGCGAAACATTTTTGGGTTGGGAAAACGCTTTGGTGCCTGTCCAATCCATGCCGAGGCCCTTCGGAACCTCGAGTGTGTCTCACCTTTGGCAGGGGCAGGGGGTTGTCGGACGGCGAGTTGCAGGGGCTCCTGGGCAGCCCCAGGTCCTCGTCCTCCTCGCTGGTGTCGCCGCGGCCGCCCCGCCCGGGGCCTCGACCCTGGCCGCGCTGGGTGCGCCGCCGTAACACGTCCGCCAGCTCCGCCTGCGACGACAAGAAGAACCTCGTTTAGGAGACGGCTGTGACCGATACGGTAAGGACGGGACAATTTGGGCACTCCCTCCAGCCCGGACACTTCCGAAGAAGCTTCCGGCGCTAATGTTTTGCGCAAAGCGTTTGGTTCCCTCCCTCTGCTGTTTTCATTTACCCATGATCTGCAGGGGCAGCAACCAGGGGCGCGAGGCGGCGGGGGCCGCGCGGGCCGCTGCAGCCGGTACGTCCCCGAGCAGCCCAGCCGCAGGGCCATGCCGCGCCAGAGAGCGTCACATGACCGCCCCGGCACGCGCATTCGCTCGCTCTTTGATGTTGGGCCGACGAGTGAGCGTCGTCATCCTTATCACTATGCGTAAATTGAATTGCTTCTTCTATGGACACACGCGAGTCATGCCGCTCACGTTTTGAAATCTCTGGACCGACCGAGGCAATAGAGTTAAGTGACGAAAACAGCACATGTGTATCACGGACTGTCGGATAAAATGGCCCCATTACTCAGTGAAGGCAAAGGATTGAAATGCCCGCCACTCGCCACTGTGATAACCCCATTGTGCTTCGCGAACGAAGCACGGAGCGCCGCCGGCGCGTGGAGTATCGCCGCTTCCCCGGCCGCGAGACTGGGTGCCTTCAGCGAAAGGGCAGGTCTGCCTTGTTAGCTCTCGCCTATCGTGGCTGCGTCCAGGGGCGCTCGGCTGGAGCCCTCAAGCGCCGGGGAGGCAGGCAACCACCAGGCACCCGTGCGCTGCACCTGGCTGGCGCTGCCTACCTCACAGGGGCGCTGGAGCCCTCGAGCGAGCGCCGGGGAGGCAGGCAACCACCAGGCACCCGTGCGCTGCACGTGACTGGCGCTGCCTCACAGGGGCGCTGGAGCCCTCGAGCGAGCGCCGGGGAGGCAGGCAACCACCAGGCACCCGTGCGCTGCACCTTGCTGGCGCTGCCTACCTACAAGGCTCGCAGCGCTGAGGTGGCGCGTCGCGGCGCGGCGTGGCGAAGAGGAAGCAGCGAGAGCCAGTCGGCCATCCGCTACTCATTTGGCGCGGACGAGTACACAGCATTGGTCGCGCCGCGCGCGTTGGACACGCTCCAGCACGGCTCCAGCACGGCTACGGCACGGCTACGGCACGGCTCCAGCACGGCTCCGGCACGGCTCCGGCACGGCTCCGGCACGGCTCCGGCACGGCTCCGGCACGGCTCCAGTGTTCCTCGCTCATTTCCAGCCCATAAAGGGGGAGCAGGTGCGGCCGTCGCCACCTGCACGCAGCTTACGTGGAACCGACCGTGCTGCCGGTGGCCGGGGCCGCGGCGCCACGCCACGCCGCGACTTTTACAAAGACGGTCGCGGGCCGGGTCCAGCCGAGTACGCGCGCCAAACCTACGCACCACGTACGCTTAAGAGGGTCGTCAGGATGCTACATTTTTATTATTTTCGTCCACCGGTCCGGCTGACGTCTAACACGAAATATGCTTAGTAAAACAATGATAATTGGGACTAACTCTGCTAGAAGTTTTTTTAAAACTCGCAGCAATGTTTTTTTCTTCTCAAGTTATTTTTTGAAATTTTATTGCGTTGGTCTACCGGTCTACAAAACAATGTGACTAGATGGAGGGAAAGGGAGGGGGGTATGCCTCAAACCGGAAGTGCGGCGTTTGTCAAAGCGGCGGACTGCGCGGCGGCACCAGGTACTGCAGGACCGGACCAGATATGACCAGATCTCTCATCTCACACAGCTGTGCGCTTACGAGAACACCTGCAGCTGCTTCTGGGTGTCTATAACTTTTTACATCATCATGAGCTCGCAACAGTGACAAGTGCGGCTTATGTACTCTGTGTGTCGCCGGGTACCTGCACCTGGCGCCACCTGTATACGACACCCGAACGGATGGATGAAGGGCACTTATTCAGCAGTTGGAGTGTCACACGAGTATAGCGGCCACACGCACACACGCGCTTGTTCACACAATCACACACACGACACGCACGAGCACGCGCGCGGGCGTGCACCTTTGCGAATGAGACGCGGCGCGGTCCACGGGGACACTGAGAGGCAAAACAAGGCCCCATGTCCGTGACGGGGTTCGGAGGGGGGCGCCAGAGGATTGGATACCTGTCGCCAACGCCACAGCAGCGGCAGCAGCAGCAGCTGGTCGCCATGGTGATGGCATACCCCCTCCCCTCGCCTGGATCTCTCTCTGTCTCTCCCTGTCTTTTTCTGTCTCTGTCTCTCTCTCTCTCATCTGCTCTGTCTCTCTCTGGCATCTATCTCTCTCTCCCCAACAAACGATAGACAGCGAAAACTTTCAGTGCTTGAGGTGTTTTCCGGAGTAAAGCGACAGGCGGCGGCCCGGCTCTCGAAGGGCTCTCGCAGACAGGTGGTCAGCGGGTCAGCAGCGCAGTGCTAAAGTTCTCCCGTCCCTTGAGGCGAACGCGAAGCGAGGGTCGACGTTGGCTCGGACGACTCCGCGGAAAAAGGACCGAAAGCTCCATGGGGTGAGGTAGAACACTCCTTTCTCATCAAAAAGTGAAGAGTGACCCCCCCCCCTCCCCCCGGTCTGTTCCCCCTTGCGCTGCCCACCGTCCGTCACCGCCCCACAGCCTCGGCGTGTCCTTTAGTGGGTCCTCTCCCGGCCGCTCGGACACCGCCGGACACAACCTAAAGCGACGAGCGTTGATGAGTCATGGTCCAGCCTATGGTCATGGTCCCATGGGGCACAGCCACACGGCCCCCTCCCATTTTTGTCCATCCGGATTGACGGCACAACGGGACTTCACTCAACGTAAACAGCAGATAGCCCACCAGACTGTGTGGGCGCTGGTCCCGCGGCCGATTCAACGTCTGAGACGAGAAACCATATTTTTGGGACAGATTAAAACAAATCAAAGTCACGCTATTTTCTGAACTATTTCTTGAACTGAAAGAAAATGTAAAACGTTGTTAAATATTGATTACGTGACCCTAGTGCCGAAAGGTGCACAAGCATTTTTCTGTATTTTCTTTATTTATTTCTGATTTTTACTGTCTTCTTTTGATTTTTCTGTGCTTTTCCCTGATTTTTTTGTTTGGGGGGGGGGGCGTACATTGACTTTTTTGTGTCAAGGGCCGCCCTCGCCTGGCGCTACCGGCTTGTTGCACCCGTAGAGACATGCACAACTAACTCACCATTAGCCGCAGTCCGTGCGGCGCACGACACGCGGCCGCAGATCGCGCGGGGTACGGCCGCGGCGGCGGCGCACGGGGTATGCCCGCACGACGCCCACACCGTCGCGGCGCCCCGAGCGCGGGGTATCGCGGCCGCGGAGCGTCGCATCGCGTCCGTCCGTCTGTCAGACCGTGCCGCGTGTGGGAGACAGATGGACCCACTCACGCAGTCACACACGGGGCACACGTCTTTTGTTTTGAGCCACGCCTACTATACGACGATAATCGTCCCCTCCCCGCGGTCCCCTCGCTCGCACTCCCGCGGCCGCCGCGCACGCCGTGCCCAGCCGTGCCCAGCCGGAGGCGCGTTCCAGTTTCCTCGCAAGGCGGCGGCACCGGCGCGGCACCCCCGCGCGCGCGCGCTTTCTCATTTTCCCAAACAGCTGGTTTCGGCTGGCAAAATAATTCAGCGCGGAGGCGGCAGCAGAAACGCTGGCATGTAAATACGGAGCGGAAGGAAAGAGTGTCTCGGGTCGGCGTCGTCCATCCGTGCCGCGCCGATCCCAGAGTCCTGGCTTTGTTTTTACAGGTGCCCCCTCCTCGGCCCACGGTGGTGCCCTCGGCGCGGTCTCGTTTGCCGGTAGGCTGCCATCAGCAGCTGATGAGCCGAGTCGGACCGGTACGAACCGAGCGTCGGGGCCGGGCAGAGTCGAGCCGGTCCAAGCCGAGCCGGGCAGAGCCAGGTGGAGCCGAGGCGAGCCGAGCCAATCTGACCTGACCGCAGCACGTCAAATAACGGCGCGGCCAGGGCGCCCTCCACCCCTGCAAGCGCCTGGCCGCGCCTTCTTGTCGCGAGGCGGCCAGTCGGCCAGTCTCAGTCTGCGCGCCGCTGGCCAGTCTCTGACGCGTCGAATACCCTCTATTAGTTGTACTGTACTGTGCCGCAGCCCGGCGTGCATGTCGCGGTTGTCTGTCATCAGCTCTAAACGGCGCGCCTGGCGCCCAAAGGCCCCGACGGAGTAGGCGAGGAGGCTCGCTTACACGTGCGATTCCAGGACAGGCTGAATCTAAAATCAGACGGGGATCTAAGACCGTAAGAAGGAGGAAAGTGGGAATCATGAATCACCGTGGACCGTACAGGGGTTATATTCCGGCAAATTCGGCCGCCCGGCGCAAAACGACGGAGACGCCGTCCTCACCGTACTTTACAGTCTGAACACCAGTTCCGCCCGACCCTCTCGCTGCACTGCTCCGCTCGGGGCGCCGCGACGATCCCTTCATAAATCAATCGCTTGCCGTTCCGTTTCCGACAGAGCGCCTCACGGCGGGACGCGGGCAGGGCTTAAAATAACCTGACACGAACCGAGCCTGCTAGGGCAGGGGCAGGGGCCAGGCGCCGGGCAGGAGCAGGCGTTCGTCTCCCCGCGCCCCGCTAGACCGACAGCCCCCCTCGAGGCCACAAAGTGTGCATCACGCCACTCAACTCACCCGCACGCCGGGAAGCACTAGCCTCTGGATGGACTGGGTGCTGGTGGTGTCCGAGCCCGACTGGTCCGAGGGGTCGGCGGTAAACACGCTGTCGTGGGACACGCTCAGCCCCGGGTACAGGGCGCCGCCCGTCCTACTGCTGTGGAGAAAGAGAGAGCGAGATAAAGAGAGTATAGTTGTAAGCCTGAAGAGCGAGAGAGAGATAGAGGTTGGGCGGATTCTTTGACTCACCTGGGCGCGGCGTGTTGCGGCGCCTCCGCCAGGAGCCGCCCGGTGGAGGCGCTCCTGGGGGCGCCGTTGGGCCCGCAGGGGGCGCCGCCGACGGCCTGGGGGTCGCCGAGGCTGACGGCAGCCTGCTCGGGGAGCTCGTCCTCGGCGGTGGCCGTCGACGCGGCCGTCGCCGAGGACTCGCCGGACGCCCCGGAGCCCCGCGGCTTCCTCCGGAACATCCGGCGCAGGCCGCGCAGCGGGTGGAAGCTGCGCTTCTTGGACTCTGCAAACACAAGAGACGGTTCAGTCAGAGACAGGACTTTCATCTCTCATCCGCGAGCGCCGCGCTACGGTCCTGGGGCTGGGGCGGCTGCTGCGGGCCGGACGGCGCAGCGCAGCGCCAGCGTGCGTTCAACTTTTATTACCCCGAGGTGGTTTGGTGGTCAGGCCGCAGGCGGGCCCATAGACAGGCCCGGCCCGGTACCCGGATACCTGCCCACCAGGTACCACGGCGCGATCATCAACGAATATACGTTTCTTCGTTCCAAGTAATTCCCCGAGAGCTCGTCTCGGTCCGAAACCTCTCTAGAGTTTGATGGTACAAGAGCTTTTACGGCTGTGGGGCCGCGGCACGGCGGCAGGGCGGCAGCGACGCTCGCGGCCCGCAGCACTCCGCCGCGGTCCATCGGGGATTACGCCCTATAGTGGGGCCTGACGGGCCCCGCAGCCCCACGGGCGCATCGGTGCCACGCACCGCGAGCTATTAAGCGACGGCAGATGGGAAGCGAGCGAGGCGGGGAAGACCGGAACCGATGAGAGCAGCGCGACGAAGAGCAGCAGCAGGACGGAGAGCAGCACGACGGAGAGCAGCACGGTCAGCGCCGCCGAACGACGAGGAGAGCAGCGCGACGACGGAGTGCGCGGCACAAGCGCGCAGCGGAGGAGACACACGGGCGGCCGGCGCACCGAGGAGAGCAGCGACCTGGCCGGTGTGCCCGGGCGGCACTGGCCGCCGCCGCCGTCATAACGTCTCTGCAGACGCGCCTCATCACGGAGCCTCGGCAGAGCTGCGCTGCTCGGCCCTTTATGGGCCAATAACGCCTCGCCGCGCCACGCCGCGCACCGGAAGTTGGCGTTGACAGAGATAATCTCCTCGGCGCGGTGCGGCGCGGCGCGGCCCGCTGCGGCTGCCTTGCCTTTTCTTAGGAAGGCCGCCGGCTGTGCTGCCCCGCCCCACCCCCTTCGCTCAAGCCCTCATAGAATTGGCCAATCATCATCGGGCTGGCAGACTCGGCGCGGCTCAGCTCGGACGACACCACCGGAGGTGCTTTTTACTCGTTATATCCAGGGCAGGAGATTAGCGCGTCTCGCGCGCTCCGCCTGACAAGCTGTCTGTCTGTCTGTCTGTCTGTCTGTCTGTCTGTCTGTCTGTCTGTCTGTCTGTCTGTCTGTCTGTCTGTCTGTCTGTCTCCGTTCGTTAATCCGTCCGTCCGTCCGTTCGTCTGTATCGATCACAACACGCGCGTGGCACCGCGGACGAGGAGTGGAGTGGTCGGTGTACCTGCCGTGACCTCAGCCGGTTCGAATCTCTTCTCTCTCCTCCACAGCGCAAGCTCTCCGGCGAGCAGGGCCCTCCGCGTGCTGTGCTCTCGCTGTCGTGTCGCAATGAACAGCGGAGTCGCAGAGGCCCGGCCTTCTCGGCCAATTACCATCGGCATCGCCGGGCTCGGCATCGCCATCGCGAACTCGGCATCGCCCACGCCAATTAGAGTTCGCGTCGTTCGCTCCGGGGCGTTTGCTCGCGCTGCCCGGGCTGGGCCGGGCCGGCCGCGCCCGCACCGCTGACATTACCTCTGACACTGCCCGGCCTTGGCTGACCTTTGGGACCGGGGGGCCCGGCCTGCTGCACCCAGAGGGACGGGCGAAGCGAGCAGGGCAAACAAACAGAACGCAGCGCGAAAAATGTCACGGCCCAGAGAGGGGCGCGCTGAAAAAGTACCTAGTACCTACACCCGACCTACAGCACTCTAAACATATTTCCAAAGGCACTCTGAGGTACTCTCAAGGGCACTTTAACATGCTTTCAAAGGCACTCTAAGGTACTCCCCAAGCTCGTCCCGCAGAGCACTCTAAGATACTCCTAAATCTCGTCTCAGAGGCACTTTAAGATACTCCCAAAGGCACTCTGATCTACTGCCGAATAAGACACTCTAAGGTACTACCAAGGAACTCCAAGGTACCGGGTGTAACTGAGAATGCGCAACAGTGTTGCGGGATTGCATACCCGCCAGGGCTGCAGGGGCCATGGCGCCTTACGGGCTAACTGGGTAGGCAAACCCGCAACACTGTTGCGCATTCTCTGTTACACCCGGTACTCGCAGATACTCTCAAAAGCACCCGCAGGTCCTCCAAAAAGGACCTCTACCCTCACTCAGGTACTCACCATGCCTGCCGGCGTCCTCCTCGGGCTGGCGCTGGTGCGGGGCGGGCTGCTCGGCGCGGGCGGCGCAGCGCGGCGAGGCGCGCGGCGAGGTGAGCGGCGAGGGGGCGGCCCGCGACACGCACGACATGAGGCTGAGCGGCGCGTGCGCGTGGTGGGGCTGGCTGTGCGGGTGCGGCGGCGCCACCGCGTGCGCCACGGCCGCCATCCCTGAGGAAAGAAAAAACAAACAAACCATTAGATTGGCTGGAAAAATTGAATCGCACAAACCTCCTGGTGGTTCTTACGGGCCGGGAGGCCTTCTCTTCACGTAACAACACATCAAC